GCACAGATGTTTGACACTGGTAAAAGATACAGTCCACTTAGAAAGTGAAATACCCAGGCCGGGTGTGGTGGCTCACACCTGTAGTCCCAGCACCTTGGAAGGCTGAGGTGGGCGGATCACTTGAGGTCAGGAGTTCAAGACCAGCCTGGCCAACATAGTGAAACCCCCATCGCTACTAAAATTACAAAAATTAGCTGGGTGTGGTGGTGCACGTCTGTAGTCACATCTACTCAGGAGGCTGAGGCAGGAGAATCGCTTGAACCCAGGAGAGGGAGGTTGCAGTGAGCTGAGATCACACCACTGCACTCCAGCCTGGGTGATGGAGCGAGACTCCATCTCAAAAAAAAAGACAGTGAAATACCCACCTAATACATTGCAGCAAAGAACAAATATCAAAGCTTAGGGGTCAGAGGGCCAGGACCTTGGGGAGGCCAGGCTGTTTGGGAGTAGAGGGTGTGTGTGGCTCCTGCAGCTCTCACATTCTCAGGAGCCAAAGATGAGCACCTGCGGCCCGGAGGGAGCCAGTGGGCTGCTCCTCTTCTAGTGGCTCTGCATGTCTCCATCTGTGTGACAAAGCACAATGGTGGGCACTGTGCCCGCTGACAGGCACCAGAAAGCCAGTGTGAGCTCCCTGGAGAACCGCCAAGGAGAACATGCGCTAAGGAAGCTCAAGGGCCGCGTGTGGGCTGCTGGGGGAGGTGGATGGGGAATAGTCAGAAAAGGAGGAATTCACTCCTTGTGAGGCTGGCATGACTTTGCATTCTGTCTCCTCTGGTAGCCCACGCCAGGCGTGAGAACAGCCTTTGCCCTGGGGATGAGGGTTCTCCCACCAGCCCTCCAGAATTCCCTCAGACGACCTCATGGCGAGGCTATGCAATGGGGCGTGTTCTCCACTGTCCGAGTGATGGCTCCATACTGGCCTGGCTAGCCCCTGGCCTTTTCCTACCCCACGCGTGCTAATTACCCCCCTCCACGTGGTGGCCGCTGCCTTCACACCAGCTGCAGCAGGGAGGCCTGGCTGGGGCCACACACTTCCGAGCGGGGCGGGCGTTCCCCGGGTGCCACTGTAGCCACCCAGACTGTGACCGCAGACCCAGGCCGCCTGCTCTGCAGATCAGGCAGGATCCCCACCCTCCTGTGTGGGCTACAGCCGCCCAAACTGCAGCTGTGGGTCTGAGCCTCCCTGAGCTCTTGGGTGGGAGCCGAGGACAGGCGGGATCTGCCCTTCCGCGTGCAGCTGCAGCCGCCCGACCCACAGCTGCAGACCTCGGTCTCCTGCTCCACGGAGGAGGCAGGAGCCAGGACAAGCAGGAGCCCTGCCCCTTCCAAACTGACGGGGCAGGAGCTCCCCGGGTGTGGCTTCGGCCACGCTCCCAGGAGCAGGACCCCAGCATCTGTGCAGCCTGCACCGCCGGGGCCTGGGAAGACCCAGCCCCCCAACCCCCATCCCTGCAGGCTCAGGGGTTCTGGTCCTCACTGCCTGGCCTCTCTCTGCTCCCAATCTCGGAGCGGGGTTGGGGCCTGGCCAGGGACTATGAATGGCAGTGGGAGGCAGACAGAGTCCCTGGAGGGAGAAGGCAGGTCCCCAGCAAGGCCAGGGAGGGTCTGAAGGTCAGGCCCCCAGTCCCTGGGACCGGAGTGGGGACTTGTGATGTCTCCCTCTGGCTGCCCATGGACCAATCCGCATGCACTTCCTCCCCTCAGAGGTGCATAAAAGCGCCAGGCTCAGCCAGAGCAGGGCAGAGGATGGAGAAACAACAGGATGACCAGCTGCAGAGAGAAACTACCCTCTCTGCTGAGAGCTTCAGAGACCTGCAGAGGCATTCCGGACAACCTGCCTGTGGAGAGGAGCCGCTGTCTCCAGGGGCTTCTGTCTGCTGAGAGCAGCAGGTGGCAGGAGGACCAGCGGGCAGAGAGGAGCTGCCCTCTCCAGGGCCTTCTCTGCTGAGAGCTGAACACTCAGTGGGACGGGAGGACTTACCTACAGAGAGGAGCTCGCTGCAGGTCACCTCTGAGCTGTTCCAACGTTCAGTAAAGCTCCTCTGCATCTTCTTCACCCTTACTTCTCCGTGTACCTCATGACCTCACTCTTCCTGGAGGCAGGACAAGAACTCAGGTGCCACAGAGGTTTCCAGGAAGAAAATCGACACCCCAAAGATCGCACACAAGGACAGATGAGGGTCCGTTCTTTCCAGTGGCACCTGTAGCCTGCCGGGGGCTCAGCACCTACCTTCCTTTTGGATCTGAGCCTTTATGCATTTACTGGGTCTTGGAATGGGAGGTGCGGCTGGCAGGGCACAGCTGCTGTCTACAAGTTTCCTGCTGCATGAGGCACCTGATATGCAGGCGGTGGTGGCAGGTGGTGTCCCCCTTCCGCATCCCACCAGGGCTGTGTCTAGGAGTCACAGAAGTGGACTCTGCCCATTTCTCTCTCTCTTTGCATTTCTGATGTGACAATCTCACCTTTCCCCAGGCAGCATGGAGGAACCCAACCTAAGGGCAATGAAAAGCTTAGGCCATGTTCTCGTTTTTGAGCAGCCCCTCTCTACAAGTGCAATTTCCCTTCTCTTTCACTCCCCTGTGTGGCATGCAAGGGCCTCGGCAATGTGGTCCCATCCATTTCTGTTCAGCCTTCCCTTCCACTAGTGAGCCACACACTGGCCTGGCCAGCCCCGAGCCTTTTCCTACCTCCCACGTGCTAATCACCTCCCTCCACGAAGAATGTCTGTCCTCCCGGGCTGCCCCATTGCTTCCCTGATCCTACTGTTTATGCAGCATCCATTTTCAGTATACCTTGTCCCTGAGCCCTCCTCTGTCTCCCCAGGCCCGGGGAACTGCACCCACTGTTTGAGCTCACTGTTCAGCCCCTTTGCTGTCCTAGGGACATCTTTCCACATTAATAAGCCTGGGTGCCCAGTCTCGCCAGCCTGTCTGAGCACGGACAGTCACCTCCAGGTCCATGCCTGTAGCTCGTTGGCTCCTGTCTCCCTCCCATATAGAGCCCTGCCACCTGCACAGGCCCCTCTCCAAACATAGGCCCTTCTGGGAGTCCCTGCGGTGTCCTGCTGGGGCAGAAAATTTTAAAATACATATGCATTCATTTACTCCAAGAAAAGCAACAGGCAAGGCAAGGGTTAAAAAGAAAACAAGTTTTCCTCTGCCTAGCAAGCTCACTTCAAGGACAGATAAGATAATGCTGTCCAGAAAACCAAGGCCAAAGGAATGGGCTCCAGACACCCCCCGCCCCACTTCCAGAGCAAGGGTAAAGGAAAAAGAAAGAAAGGCAAATTCTTTTACTGTTACTCTTTCCTCAGGCTTCTTCAGCGTGATCGTGTTTTACGAATGTCTGTATTTAGTCAGTTCTTGTTTTTCTTTCAATGCAGCTACAAGGCCACCGGCTATGCAAGGCCACAAGTTATGCTGTGCTATAGATTATGTGACCTATCATATGATTAACTGCTTTTGTTTTGTTTATCGTAAGTCCACTTACAAACACCCCACCCTGTCTTTGTTTAGGGCTCAGCTTTTTGGACGTGAGTCCACTGAGCCGGTGTGTACCTAAAATAAACAATCCTCCTGATTTTCACATCCGTCTCTCTGGTCCTCAGTTTACCACAATATTGCATGTGTTTGAGCGGCTCGTGCCTCAGCTCTGGCCTGTTCCCTGGAGGGGATGTCAATGTGGGCTGCAGCTGGGTGGCTAGTGCCTCAGTCCACTTATGCCCAAGTCGCACCATGGCCTACAGTAAGATGGGGTGGGCTGGGGTGGGGTAGTGCTTGCTGCTTCTTTCTTGAGCTCTGCTCCACTAGAGAAATCCCAGTCCAGCACCCCCTGCATTTCCCGAAGCTGCACGACGAACAGGTTTTGCAGGGCTGCACTAACAGCAATGCCCCCAGGGAGTTACTCCTTACTGACCTCGCCCTGGAGGAGAAGGTTATGGTGGGTTAAAAACTGGGGCGTCAGCCCCTTCCTCATGCTTAGTTAGTGGAGACTGCAGTCGACTCTCTTTCACGTTCGGAGACTGCCCCCTGCCTCCCAGGAGTCCCAGCTTCACCAGCACAAAGACGCTGCACCCAGCTGGAGCCTTTTCTCCCCACTTTGAGCCTCTGCAGCCGTCACTCTCTACAAAGCTCTCAGATACCTTTCCCCTCCTTCTGTGACCCTGGAGAGATATTTTACATGAGAATTCGAGATTTTTCTCAGAGACAGGATGTGACGACTTCCTTGTTTTGTTCTATCCACCTTGGTTTTCATAGCAAAGGGCAGAGCAAACAGCATATATCTCTGGGAGGAAGATGGATAAATAATTCTCACACATGTCCTGGCCTCTGGAGCTCAGCTGCCAGTCCACGTCTACGGAATCTTAGCATCTAGGACCAAGACACTTCACAGCGATCATCACCCTTTGCAGAGGAGGTGAGATCACCGGGACTCATCTGCCATTGCAGACCTTTTGCTGCTACCTGACAGGTAAGTGGCTCATTCTCAACAGCTGCCTACACCTCCACTTTTCAGAAACGGCAATCAGAAAATGAAGGTGGGAGGCTTTGGGAGGACGTACAATTAGTGGCAGCATTTTATTATACGAGCTTGGCTGCAGCATGGGATGTTCCGAGTGTGGCCAAGAGGAGATGTTGGCGCCCGTTTAGGTAGGCCCCATCTCAGGAGGCAGGATCCTGATACATCCCATTGCCCCTCACCAGATGAAAAGGATTTCAAGCCTCATGGCAGTTCCCTTCTTGGGGCAGTCCATCTTCCGTAGAGACTAAGAGGGTGGAAATCCTCCTGTGGACCTGTTGAAATCGAACCAGTGCAGGCAGTGGGCACTGGCTGGGGTCTGCCGGGGGCAAGGGCATTGCAGGGGTGCCAGGGAGGCCAGTGGGAGAGGACCAAGGCCCCACTGACACCTGGGGACTTGCAGCTGGGGGAGTGGAGGATAGGAGACAGGCAAAATTCACCAGTTCCACAGCTTACAGAAGTAGCAAAGCAAAGACTATACTTTCAGGGATAATTTCTATACTTTATTACTAGAGAAGTTTTCCGCTCTGGGACCCCATAGTCGCCTCACACACATGCAGGGCAAAAAATGCCTCCTGTGTTTGGGAGAGCAAGTGACATGGCATTTATTAACAAAAATGGATTTTCCTGCTGGGTTTCATAATGTGGTCACGTAAGTGTTAAACGTAGTCTTAAAATTATGTTAGGGAAATCCCCAAGGTTTTGCTCCGCCCCATGGAGACCCTGGGACCGCTCAGGGCAACACCAACAGTTGCACGGCAGGCAAGGCAGTTCTGTGGGAGGACGTGGCCTTTGGACACTGCCAGGTTCGGAGATGTCCTTGGGAGATTTACCTTTTTGTCAGGAAGACAGTGTTAAGTTCAGGCAAATAATTATATGTGTGGACAGAATCTGAAATACACCAGTATAGTAAGAGTGAGAGATTGTGAATGTGTAATGCAAACGGAAAAGCAGGTTTTATTTTGTTAAGTTGTTCACTAGGGAATCAGCTGAGGTTCCTTCTAATGCTCTTTTTCTCCAATCTTGCTTTGCTGAAAGTTGCAGAAAAGGATGTGTGTAGAGAAAAATGGGACACTTCAGGGTGGATCGGAGGACATCAATCCATAGTGATTCGCAGGGGTTTGTCAGGTGGAAGCAGTGATTTTTAAGAGTCACTGATTAAAAACAAACATTCCTAAGTGTATTAGGGAGATGCCGCTTATTTGTGATTCAAAAAGCTTTTTTCTCAGTCTCTTAAATTATGGTTTTCATGTAATAAGAATGATTTATATTTTTAGTGAAAAGCTGTTTTCCTTTCAAACACAGACCTTTTAAAAAGACTTAGCTTGAGTAAGTACCTTTCATTCGACGCTTTTCTTGTGCCTAATCTTAGGAAATCCAGAATAGTACTCGACAGAAATTATGTTTTCAACTTGCCTTTGACATCTGTCCCACTGCATTTTGCTTTAAAATTCTTCATTTAACAATAAATTATCTAAAAAAATAACAGTAGCAAAGCAAAAACTACTCATCTTTAAAGACAGACTCAAGACTGAGGGACTGGAAATCAAAATAACGTCGGAGTTGTTTAGGAATTGCAGGTGCAGGAGGAGAGAACAGGAATGGGGTGGGCTGGGGGCAGTGAGAGAGCAAGAAGAAAAAAATAAAAAGAGAAGGAGAAGAAAGAAATGGGCTTTTGCTGGGTGCAGGCGGTGACATTTCCCAGGACACTTATTTCTCCCTGTGCCTTCCGGAGGGAGCAGCCCGAGGCTCCTGGGAGGAGGAGGAGCAGGTGCGCGCCAGCAGAGCTCAGCTGCAGCTGGAGGATCCCTTGGCGGTCCTCACGCACACCGAGTTTCAATCTTCCCCAAATATCCGACGCGTCCAGTCGCTTACTCCTTCCCCAGGCAAAACCTCACCAGGAACAGAACCTGAAATCAATTTACACTGTAATCAAAATAGCAGAGAGTGGAAAGTGTTTCCTTCAAGGAGGGGACTTGAACTTCAACTACGGATTGAACACCCTCGATCCTTAACTGGAGAGTGAGGTCAGAAAGGGCGGACTCGCGGCCGCAGACGGGGAGGAGGGTGCTGTTCAGTAGTCGCTGATTTTTTCCTTCAGGAACTTGCCAGACCATCTGTCTCCGACTAAAGGCTTTCAAGATGATACCCTTGAGTGTTGGGAGCCAAGGGACCAGGTACATGTCCCTCCTGGCTGAGAAGATGCTCTTGACAAAGTCTTAGGGAGACCCTAGTTTTAAGTTGTTTTATCTGGCAGTGGGATTTTAAAGTTTTTATTCATTAGTTGGTTGGTTGGTTGGTGGCTGGTTTTGTGGCTGGCACCCTGGGAGCCGGTTCCTGCTTCAGTGCCTCTGTGTGATGGCAGGTTAGGGTGAGTGTTTGGTCTGTGGCCAGCTGGTTCCTCAGACGTCATGTTTTGGGTCACAGGAGTGACTGAAGGGTGTACCCAGACACACGACACAGCTGGTGAGGAATCTGAATTCGAGAAGCACAGAGCAAGGCTCTGGAACCGGACGGGGGGGGCGGTGGAACCCCCTCCACCACTCACCCACTGTGGGCCGGAGCAAGTCACTCAGCTTCCGGGCCTCCGTTTCCTCAGCTATAATTTGGACCTATTAGTAATAATAATAATACAAATACTAATAATACTTGAGGTATAGATAAGTGCCTGATAGGAAGTACCCAGTGCATGTTTGTTTTTATTACTGTGAGCACGTGTGTGTGTGTGTGTGTGTGTGTCTGTCTGTCTACAATCCTCCTCCTCTGAGGCATCCATGATGGAAATCACACGGGTGTCTCACAACAGAGAACGGAGGTCCCTCTAGCACTCCCACGGTTCTGGAACATCCTGCCCCAATCCCCTGTCCCCGGGAGGTGGCAGCCTGCCCCCAGCCCAGGCAATTAGAACGAGTGTTCCTTCTGCGAGGAGGCCAGCTGTGGGACCTGTCTCGCGCCCCATTACCACCTTATGAGGGGACCTGTGTCACAACCTAACACAACCTCGACTAATTCCCCAGAACCCAGCCCACCCAGATGGATGCACAAACACACTCTGAGCCCCGCTTGGTTTTGGAAGGCACTAGTTGGACACTGACATGCCCCTCCTGGCTTTGCTGTCATGGGGCTCTAACCTGTGTCTAGAATCCAGAAGAAAAGACTGAAGCATACAGGAAAAGAGAAGGCAACAGAAGAGAGGGTGAGAAGGTGCACAACCAGTGTAGACCCCTTTGCTAGAACCCTTCCTTGCAGCTTCCCCACCTCTCACAGAGACGCTTCCACCAGTAGCCGCAGAGGGTGAGAGTCCGGACTGTCCAGCCAGAGCCTGGACCCTGCCCAAGGCCTCTCCCATGTCATTGTGTGAATCGGATTCCAATAACTGAGAGCTGTCAACATGGCCCCGATCCAGGGGACCTCCTGTCCTTGAGACCTTCTTGAAACACACCTGGAGCTGTCCCAAACTGTCCTCTGTTTGTCCCCTCAATTTCAGCTCTAGGAGACAGGGCCATCAGCCCATGAGCCTCACGGGCCACCCCTCTTCCCTTGTATTCCTGCCTACCCGGGTCCCTCTCAGCCTAAGGGTCCCTGGGAAGCCTCCACCACCTCATTAACTCACCCTGCACACCCCTCTGATCCTTCGGCCACTGCACGGCCAGCAGCTTTGAGAGTCCATCCTTCACACCTGCTGGTGGCGTTGCTGACAGCGTGGCCCGTGTCCTGCGGCCACAGGACACCAGAAACACCTGCCATGCCAAGGTCTCAGAAGAAAAGCCAAGCCGTGGGGGCAGACGGGGAGACAGAGAGGGCTGGACAGAGGAGCCCACCGCGGCCTTCCCCAGCAAGGGCACTGTGATGCAGTGAAAGACAAGGGGTGCAGTCCCAGGACGAAGACAGTGTGGACGTTTGCAAGGCAGAGGGGAAGGGGGGTGCTGACTTTGATTTCAAGAGCTCCCAGCAACCCGTGGGAGTGGGCACTGGTCTCTTCCATGGTTCAGGCAGAGATTTAGGTCCAGCCAATTAAAAATCTGCCTAAAATCTTGCACAACTAAATGCAAGAGAAATATGGAGAGTTTTGTGTGTCTCCAGACTCACTGACTGCAACACACTCGCTGGGCTTGAGTCATTAGTGGCGCCCAAGGGAGCAGAGCATCAGGAGTGAGGGGGCAGCCCTTGTCTGGGCTGGGTCTGGGCCTCCTGGGTCACAGATGAGGAAGGGGTGGCTAGATGGGATGACTCCATCACTGTGGCCCCGAAGATGCTCTCGACAGAGACAGTTACCAGCTGGCCTCCTGAAGGCACAACTCAAGGTCCCAGGCCTGGAGGAAAGTGTCCCAGGATGTCGTTGGGGCTGGCAGGCAGCCACCCGCATGCACTCCACTTCCGAGAGAGCAGAACTCTGGGTTTGTTCCTGTGTTTTGTGGACCCAATGTTCCGGACCAAAGGGAAGTGGGTCGAAGGTTGGGTTGGTGGCGGTGAGGCAGGGAGAACGAAAATGCATCTGAGATCTTCAGAGACTGCCCTTTGTTCGAGCAAAGTCACTAAGCCCAGAAAAGTGGGGGGGCACTGAGCCCCTACACATTGTGTGACTCTGTTCCTGGCTCTAAACAATAAGCAGCACAGAAGCTGCTTCCTCTGGGACCCTTCAGCCTTGTCCCCTTGCAGCTCTGTGAACCTGAGCAAGGCCGGGGATGCCATTAACAGTGTCCCCTGGAAAAATTAGAAGCAGCTCTCACATCCAGCTAAAGAAGTCAAGCACTGAGGCTTGTCAGGAATTTGAGAGCAAGACAAAAATAACTGAGGTCACAACTGACTTCGGGTCTGATGGAGTGAGTTCCAGCTCCCCCCACCTCTGCACGTCGCTCCAGCATCCCTTTGTCCCTCTCCAGGTGGCCCCCACTGCTGAAGAGAGATGGTGGATTTCCCAGTCTCCCTGGACTCCTTGAAGCCAGCATCTCTGACCAGAAGTCTAGTCTTCCTCATGCACCTCCTCCTCCTTCAGCCCGGGGAGCTGAACTCAGGTATTGTGTGTGATCTGTAGCCCAGCCAGCCAGGACATGAACGCCACCCCTCCTGCCAGGTGCTCCCCAGGGATAAGATCTTAGAACAGTACCAGGGCATGCCAGATGCTAAAATACAAAAAGGACTTCAATCCTGGTTGTTAAAGAAACACCACCCCTGGGCATTATCCAGCCTGCAGTGCTCCTCCACTATCTCTCCAGCTCCCACCGCCCCTTGCACACTTCCCAGCACTCCGAAATCCACGGGCATAGCAGGGAGCCGAGCAAGAGGGTGCCAGGAAACTCATCGGCCTGTGTTTGTGCTGAGCCCATTGATACACGTTTTTAACTTTACCCCTTGCAAAGCTTCTCTCATGAACGATGTAGCCAACAGAGGGTGTCAACTAATAATTCAAAGGTGATTTCCTAATTTCCTGGGCTGGAAACCAGGAATACTGGGGTGACCGCGGCATAGCCCAGGTCTTCAGCAGTCTGTAGTCAAGGGAGGGGTGTGGATGTGGCATAAATGGCTGTCCATTTATGTGACCATGGCTGAGAGAAAGAGAGAGAGAGAGAGGAGAGGGAGAGACTTTGGGAGCACAGCTAAGAGTAATGATTTGTTCCCGGAAAGCTGAGGAGAGCCATAGAGAGGGAATATAGTTTGAGCAGAGGCTTGCAGGATGCACATTCTCCAGGAAGATGACAGGTAGGGGATAAGCTGAGGCAGGGTGTGCCCAGGGAAACAGCCAGACATCGGTGTGTGGAGGGACAGCCGGAGAGAACCTGGAGAGGGAAACTTGTCGGAAGGGTATTGGATATTCACCCAGCCGCCAATGAGGAGCCTCAAATAGTGTGAACAAAGCAAGGTCCCTCCATTTCCTGTGGGCCAAGTGCAGGACGGGGGGGGGTCCATGACGGGAGAGCTTCGGGATGCTTTCAGCTGAACTTGGAAAGAAAGGAGAGGAGAGGTACAGAGGCCAGAGAGAAGAGGGAGTGCCTGTGAGGCGGCAGGGATCCGTGCATGCGGAAGACCAGCGCAGGAGCAGCAACTCTCATGGGAACTGCAGACAACAGACCAGACCAGAGGGAGCAGAGAGGCCCCATGAAGAAGCCTTCAAAGAGGAGGGTGATCAAATGAAAGAGCCCAACAAATAAGTCTCAACAGAAGGATTTGGTTGACCTTTTGATAAGAAAACCTGTGGAGCAGGGAACCCTCGTAGATGATTTTTGATACCCTTTGTAGAACCTGTACATGTGAATTATTTTTTAAACTCAGAAAATCAGGCAAGCAAAAATAAGAAAATATATATTCTTATCATGCAGAAATTACCATCATCAGCAATTTGGTGTCTCCTTTCAGATATTTTTCTCTGCACATTTATGCAAATATATATGTTTTTTTACTTAAGATAATGTTGTACAGATTATTTTGAAACTTGCTTTTTTGATCAAAGATTCCATTTCACTTCGTGCTTTGGTCATATTTACATAATTGTCCACAAAATAACATTTGTACCTGGTTGGATGAAACCAGTTACCAGCTCAGCACCACAAATCTGGTTGTGATGTCACCTGTGTGTTTAATTGTGCACTCACGTTTTTTCGTAAAAATTACTTGTTCAAGGATCGGGGCCAGTTGTCCTGCAGAGGATCTTCCCTTTCTTGTTTGCATGGCTTGCTGTAGATTCCTCAGTTATAAAGGGGTGTGATAACTTTTTTTTAATTGGATGAGGGTTGCTTTTGCCTGTTCTGACTTGTCATCCTAGAGGTCAAGGTGCTAGGCCCCGAGTATCCCGTCCTGGCCCTCGTCGGGGAGGAGGTGGAGTTCCCGTGCCACCTATGGCCACAGCTGGATGCCCAGCACATGGAGATCCGCTGGTTCCGGAGCCACACCTCAGACGTGGTGCACCTGTACCAGGAGCAGCAGGAGCTCCCTGGCAGGCAGATGGAGGCGTTCCGGAACAGGACCAAGTTGGTCAAGGACTACATCGCCTACGGCAGTGTGATCCTGCAGCTTCACAGCATCGTCCCCTCCGACGAGGGCACATATGGCTGCCGCTTCCTCTCCAACAACTTCTCTGGCGAAGCTCTCTGGGAACTGGAGGTAGCAGGTGCGTGGACTGACCTAACGCCCTGCAGGGGAGAGGGAGATGCAAGTGCTTTGCCCGAGTAGAGGTAGAGTCACAGAGAATGGAAGAATGTTGGTAATTTTTTAAAAACATAAAAGCTGATGGATAGGTCCATTCTCAAATGAACAAACAAAACAGTTCACCAAAACATACACAAACAGCCCTTAAACATATGAAAAGGCTGGGCACAGTGGCTCAAGCCTTAAGCTCAGGCTTAATCCCAACACTTTGGGAGACCGAGGCAAGCAGGTCACTCGAGCCCCAGAGTTCGAGACCAGCCCGGGCAACAAAGGGAGACCCCATCTCTTAGCCAGGTGTGGTGGTGCATGCCTGTAGTCCCAGCTACTCAGGGGGGCGAGGTGGAAGGATCTGGGGGCAGTGAGCTTCACTTGCCACTGCACTCCAGCCTGGGCGACAACTGTGTCTCAAAAAATATATATATATAATATATCATGTATTTATTTATATATAATATATCATATTATATATTATATATTTATAAATTATAAAATTTATAAATATATAAAATATTAAAATGTTATATGTTATATATAATACATTATGAGTAACAAAGTTACTCATAGGGAGAGAAAGGCAAATCAAAGCTATGTCAAAATGCAATTTATTTTTAACTGTCAGACTAACAAAATTTCAAAAGCTCTTCCACGTGCTGTTGATGGAGCTATGGAGAAGCAAGCTCTCTTGTACCATGTTAGTGGAATTCAAGGTTGGAAAGCTCCAGGACAGGGGAATTTGGTAATACTTAAGAGGACTAGCTGTGTGTCTACCCTCTGACACAGCAATCCCACCTCCAGGAACTTACGCCACCTCCGACACCTCCAATATGAAAAAGCATATGTATGAGTTTAATCTTTGTAAAGCTTTTTAAAAACAATTGCAAAATAGTGGAAACCACCTAAATGTCCAAGTATAAAAGCTGAGTATGCTCTATCCACCCAATGGAGTAATCTACATTATGTATTATGCATCTGAAACAATGATAAGGTGGTCTCTGAATGGATGCAGAGTGATTTCTAGTATTGTTAAGAGAGAAAATTAAAATGCAAGGTTCAATAATACATACTTGCATGCGTAAGAAAGAAGGAGAAACATTGCCAAAAGGAACATAGGAAGGATAAACAAGAAATTAATGAAATTGGTTACCTAGGGTGAGGTGTGATGACATGGAAAGGATGGAGTTTTTTTCCTGATATACATTTCTATACAGCATTGGCATTTAAACCACATTAATGTTTTGCATACTCAAAATATAATGCTAGTTCCACAAGGATGGAGAGATAAAGGAGTGTGTATGACGCAGGCACTGGAGCTCTGGAGGGATTCAAGAAAAAGAGAAGAGTCACAACTCGAATGTATTAGAATTTAGGGTGGTGCTATTCTTCATTCTAGGAAACGGGCCCTTACCTGATATGATTAAATGCCAGGAGCCCTTCCCCACCCAATGACCCCCTTCCCATTTCCAAATGTCCCTGAGGGGTATTATTGTCCCCACATGCTACCACTGATTTAGAGTCATTTCCAGCATTTCCAAATGTCCCTCGGGGTATCACTGTCCCCACATGCTACCACTAATTTAGACTGTCATTTCCAGTCCATGGGTGGGGAGCTGCAAGCCCACACGTGTCTTAATAGCAGCCACACTTCATGATGCTTTATGGTGACTACAAATGGTGAACAGTGGCATGAACTTTAGACGTGATTTCTCGGAAGGACCCTGATCTTTCCCACTCTTCCTGCCTCCGCCAGGGCTGGGCTCAGACCCTCACCTCTCCCTTGAGGGCTTCAAGGAAGGAGGCATTCAACTGAGGCTGAGATCCAGTGGCTGGTACCCCAAGCCTAAGCCTCAGTGGAGAGACCACCAGGGACAGTGCCTGTCTCCAGAGTTTGAAGCCATCGTCTGGGATGCCCAGGGCCTGTTCAGTCTGGAAACATCTGTGGTTGTCCGAGAGGGAGCCTTCAGCAATGTGTCCCTCTCCATCCAGAATCTCCTCTTGAACCAGAAGAAAGAGTTCGTGGTCCAGATAGCAGGTCAGTGGTTGTCAGCTCACACCCGTCTTCCTAGTCCTCACGTCTACATACACATTGGCCCAAAGGCAGTCTATAAAGACACAATGGTATTGCGCCTGTCTGCGTATAGGGTGTGTTGGCCTTGACACCTGAAAAGTCAGTAACCTGGATATTAGGAACACACTAAGAACACTGCTGAGACCCCAGACAGTCAATGAGGGAGGCCCCAGAGAGCCCACCTTTCTGTGCCTAAGGCCATACACTAAAACCCAAAACTCTACTCATCAGAGGCCATCATGGGAGCCAATAGATTCGTCATGCTATCTCCCAAACAGTATTTATTGAGTTTCCGCAATGTGACCCCAGTCCCTGCCCTCAGGTCCCCATGCCAGTGGGAGATACAGACAATAAGCAAAAGAAGTGCATCCTGTCACATCACGTTAGAAGGTGGTAGGTGCAGCCGAGCGCAGTGGCTCACACCTATAATCCCAGCACTTTGGGAGGTCAAGGTGGGTGGATCACGAGGTCAGGAGTTCAAGACCAGCCTGGCCAAGATGGTGAAACCCCATCTCTACTGAAAATACAAAAATTAGCCGGGCGTGGTGGCAGGCGCCTGTAATCCCAGCTACTTGGGAGGCTGAAGCAGGAAAATCGCTGGAACCTGAGGGGCAGAGGTTGCAGTGAGCCGAGATCTGGGCGACAGAGTGAGACTCTGTCTCAAAAAAAAAAAAAAAAAAAAAAAAAGAAGGTGGTAGGTGCTGTAGAGAAAAATGAAGCAGGCCAAAAGTAGTGGGGACTTACACTTAGTGAGAGAAAGGCAAATCAAAGCTATGTTAAATGCAATTTTTTTAACTGTCAGACGCAAAATTTCAAAAGCTCTTCCACGGGCTGTTGATGGAGCTACGGAGAAGCAAGCTCTCTTGTACCATGTTACTGGAATTCAAAGTTGGAAAGCCCCAGAACAGGGGAATTTGGTAATACTTAAGAGGACTAGCTGTGTGTCTACCCTCTTACAGATAAGGCACATCCGAGAAGTGGGTGTTTAGGCAGCGAGCTGAAGGCAGGGTCATGGTTAAAGTCTTATTACGAGGCAGCCACCAAAAGGTTTCAAGTTCATGGTTCTAATTGTTTTACATTTTCAGGACAAACCCAATCTATGGGCCATTTTTCACAGAGTCCAAATCAATAGCTATTTTATTATAACAGAAAAGAAATCTCACCCTTTGATATAGTTGGTCAGATACAAGCCAATGCATACATGTTCTCTAGATAAATGATAACTTGTCTGCAAGTAGGAGGACTTGGCAAACCACTTATCACACACGGTTCTAAATCTCCTGGGAACTGGGATGGCCATCTGTGTGAGCCAACTGTCTTTAACCAAAGGAAAAACAAAGCATGTGATATGTCTACGGCAAGCCTGTAGTTACGAGTTGGAGCCATGCAGCTAAGCTAAACTCCCATGAGACAGGGATCTCCATGGCAGTGCTCTCCCTTTTATGTTTGCATTTCAAATACGCCGCCCTTAGGAAAAATATTCTTGGGTTGTAAAGAAAGAATTGATACATTTTCTAAGGAAAATGAACTAAGAGAGGGGAAGAGGAAAGTGTCTCTCTTTTTGCACCAGGAAAAACCCAATATTTTCTTTGTAGCCTTTAATATAAATCTTAATTTATATTATTTATATTTATTATGAAACTTAAGTTTATATACAAATTTTTAGATGGGTAAATGTTTGCATGCACGGACCCCTTTACAGAGGGCATGATTCACATGGATACCTTTGGGAAGGTGGTGGGAAGGGCAAAGCCAGGGGCCTGAGAGGGAAACAGCCAGGAAGCCAGAGGGTCGAGGCGGAGGGTCACAGGTCAGAGAGACAGTCGGCCCTGAGCCCGTGCTCTTGACCCCAGGCGATTGCTTCACACACCATCTGTTGTGAGGACCAATCCATTGTGACCCAGTGTTCTTGTACCATACAATAAAAATGCACTGCTAGAAAAACAAAATTAAAAGCCAAAGCCCATTAATGTCACTTATAAGCCAGACACAAAAGAACAAATGCTGTCTGATTCCGCTGATGTGGGATTACCTGGAGAAGTCAAGTCCACAGGGGTGGAGAGAGTATATGGAGGGCGCCAGGGGCTGGGGGGTGGAAGAGGAACTACTGTTTAATAAGTACAGAGGTTCAGTTTTGAAAGATGAAGAAACTTCCGGAGATGGGCGGTGGGGATGGTTGCACGACATGGTGAATACAATTACGCCCCTGAACTGTACACTTAAAAACGGTTAAGACGGGAAATGTTCCGTATATTTTACTACAATAAAAAATATATATTTTTTAAAGATCTGAGATCAAAGCACCATTTTCTAATAACTAGACGACACAGAAAGTTACTCTGTTAAACTGCCACAGCGTTTGTGAAAGGCCAATGTGTTCTGCGCTGGCTGGTGCTGTGGGCGCTGCCCCCGGCCTGGTCCGGCCTCGG